GGAGGTCTGTCCACCCCAGATACAAGAAATCCGCGAGGAGCGTCGAAAGGTTCATGTTTATACTGCCTTTTCTTCTTTGGTTCGATGCTCCCCGCGTGCCGATCAGCACGAGGGAGGTCGAACATCACTCAAGAGCATGAGCCCCTCCGCCGGCCAAACTGGCGAACACTCGAGGGCACCCTCTCCAGGATGCACAAGAGCATACAACAAACACGAAGAGCCTTAGGGTACCCTCCCCGAGCCGATCTCGATCTTATATCTCGATCCGACCGTAAATAGTTCCCGAGAGTTCGAGCACCGACGACTCGCAGTCGAGCGTCCTGGCAAAGCAAGCGGTGAGGGAGGTCAAGGCGAAGGCGACTTCGCTGGCGCACGGTGTGAAGCAGCTCGCCGGCGAGGACCGGGCCACCAGCATGGCAGCGACATTCAAGCCTGAAGTGGTCGCTGGGATTGCGACGGAGTCCAGCGACGTCCTCGTGGGCACGACGACTGGCGAGGTCGTGCGAGCCAGGACGTTGCGACGGCCACCTGAAGATCAGCGCGATGATCAAAAGCTACTTCGAGGAGTTCAGCGGCATCCCTCCTGGTCCTCTTCTTCCTCCTTCTCCTCCTCTTCTCCCCCATATTCCTCCTAATCCTCTTCAATCTCATTCACTTCCTGCTCTTCTCTTGGACTTCCTCCTCCTCCTTCTCCTCCTCCTTCTCAACCTCCTCCTCCTCCTCCTCCTCCTCCTCCTCCTCCTCCTCTTCCGCCCCCTCATCATCATCGTCATCAAGATCATAACCGCAATCATAATCATAATGGTCGCCGTCATCATCACCATCATCATCATCATCATCGTCATCATCATCATCATCAGCATCATCATCATTCTCATCAGCATCGTCGTCGTCATCATCATGATCATCGTCGTCGTGGTCGTCATCGCTGGCGCCGTCGTCGTCAGCATCATCCCATGATCATAAGGATCATCATAATCAACATCATCGCCATCAACCGCATCATCAGCATCATCATCCCCGTCATCACCATCGTCCACATCATCACCAGCAGCATCATCATCGTCAGAATCATCAGCAGCATCATCATCATCATACTCGTCATCGTGACCATCCGCATCATCACAATCATCATCTTATCATCAGCAGCAACATCATCATCATCATCATCATCATCATCATCATCATCATCATCATCATCATCATCATCTTAATCGTCCACGTTGCCATCATCATGACCATCATCATCCTCATCAGCAGCATCACCATCACCGTCATCATCACCATCATCATGAGTCACCACCATCATCAGCAACAGCATCATCATCGTCACAATCAGCATTATCGTTGTCAGCATCATCATTACCAACATGAAACTCATCATCGCTGTTCCCGTCGTCGTCACCATGATCATGATCATAATCGTCACCATCACCACCACCATCATCGCCAGCATACTCACCATCGTAATCATAATGATGGTCAGCATCATCGTCATCATCATCGTCGTCATCACAGTCATCATCAAAAGCAGCATTGTCATCATCAACATCATCAGCAACGTCGCAATTCTCATCATCATCAGCGTCGTCACCATCATCATCGTCATCAGCATCATCATCATCAGCATTACCATCATCATCATCATCATCATCATCGCCATCAGCATTTCATGATCACCCGCATCAGCATAACCAGCCTCACCACCATCATCAACATCAGCATCATTATCCACGCCATCAGCATCACCATCATCATCAGCATCATCACCACCACCATCAACAACATCAGCGTCATCATCGTCGTCACCATCATCAACATCGTCATCATCACCATGATAGTCATCATCATCATCATCAGCAGCATCAACATCATCAACGTCAGCATCATCAGCAGTAGCATCACCGAAATGATGATAATCGTCGTCGTCACCGTCATCATGGTCATGAGCGTCATCATCATCACCCTCATCATCAGCACTATCATCATCATCAGCATCACCATCAGCATCAGCATAATCAGTAACATCGTCATCATCATCATCATCATCATCAGCAACCTGAGTTGCAGCATCATCACCACCATGATCACCATCATTAACATCATTAACATCATTAACATCATTAACATTGTCATCTGTCATCAGACTTACTCTCATCAGCCAGCATCGCTCATCATCGCCACCGTCGTCGTCACCATCATCATAAACATAATCGTTCTCTTCATCAAGAGCAGCAGCAGCAGCATCGTCATCGTCATAATGACCATCATCCTCATCACATCCTAGTCAACATCACCATCATCAACCTCATCCTCAGCATCATCATCACCATCGGCGTCGTCGTCATCGTCAACATCATCATAATCACCATTGCCGTCGTCATCATCATCATCATCATCATCATCATCATCAACACCGTCATTGCAATTTCCAGTCCATCGTCATCCCCAGCATCATTATCATCATCATCAGAATCCTCATCATCGCAATCATCACCATCGTCATCGTCAACATCATCATAGTCGCCATTACCGTCATCATTATCCTCGTCATAAGTATGATCATCATCATCCTGCCCATTAGCATCATCATCGTCACCATCATCATCATCATCATCATCATCATCATCATCATCATCATCAGTGTGCCTTGGAAGCACCCTTGGCGTTTCATTATATTGTATCCAACTCTTACGTGTTGTGAGTCCACAACGGTGAAACATAAAACAACCGAACCTGGAGACTATACAAAAACGTTTCCGCACGATCACCTTGGAAACTTTTTAAAAACGAATTGGAAACGGTAAGGAAACGCCTCCCTGGATTTTTCATATGCAAAATCATGAGTTGGTAAACGCTGGCACAACACAAGTGCTGATGAGAATCGATACGGGGCGGCGCAGCGGGCATCAGCAGCAGCAGGCAGTAGCAGCAGGCAGTAGTAGCAGGCAGTAGCAGCAGGCAGTAGCAGAGCTGGCGGCTGCAGCGGGCAGGAGGTGAAAGAAAGAAGCCTTCTGGAGAGAGTGTCAACTAATATCGTGCGTTACCTGTCAATCGCTGTCCGACCCACCGAAGTGGGGGATTGGAAACGCATTTAAAACGTATTTGAAGCGTACTGGAAACGGTCTCAAACAGGCAACTTCGACCCTTGGCCCAGGGGAGGAGGAAACATTGAGGATGTCGCCGCCGCCGCCGCTGAGGCCGCCGTTACAACGCCAACGCCGCCGGTATAACACAGACGATGTCTCCGGCTCTGACGCGCACTCTGGTGGGTCGGGCGGCGACTGACAGGCAACGCACGATAAGGCTCAACACTCTCTCCAAGAAGCTTCTCTGGTGTACCTGCTGCTCGCTGCAGCCGCCAACTCCCTGCTGGATCGTGTCTGCCGTTCCCTGCTGCGCGCTGCTGCTTGCTGCTTGATGCTGCTGCTGCCTGCTGGAGCCTCATTACCGCTTGCTGATTGCCAATGCACGCCAAAGCAAAACCATACCAGATACAAAAGAGCACGCTGCAAGGCAGACCTGGAAACGATGAGAAAACGAAGCTGGAAACTATCCAAAAACTGTCCCTCGGATTGGCGTCGGAGCTGATCAAAAAACGCATCGACACCAAGACCTGAAACTACCAAAAAGCGGCAGCGGGAAACTACTGAAAAACGAGCGTTTGAATGAAAGCTAAAAACTGTAAGAAAACGCCCTAGGTGTTTCGAGGCACGATAAGATCATCATCACAATCAGCATCATCACCATCGTCATCATATTGTTCATCATCATCAGCAGCAGCATAATCGTCATCATCAGCATCAGCATTATCATCATCATCATCATCATCATCATCATCATCATCATCATCATCATCATAATCATCATCATCAGTATCATCATGATCATCATCATCATCATCGTCATCATTATCATCATCATAATCAGAATCAGCATCTGCATCAGCATCAGCATCATCATCATCAGCATCATCACAACCACCATCATCACCATCGTCACTACCACCAACAACAACATCATCATCCTCGTCATCATCATCACCAACATCACCATCACCATCACCATCACCATCGTCATCACAACACCATCGTCAACATCATCCTTTCCCTTCTGTCTTCTCGTCTGCTCGTCCTGTTGCATAATCGCTGCACTATCGATCCGCTCCTTACCCCATCTCCCCCCGCTTCTCGCCCAACCGCTCGTCAACCGGGTCCTGCGTTTCATTCTGCCCCGCCCCCCCCCTCCCCTCCCCTGGCCACCCCCCGTCCTACATTGGGACTTAGTTGGACAGGACACCCGAGAGGACACAAGACCCGTCCGAGGACCACATTGCCATGGGAATGTGGGGGGCACGGGTCGCGACGCACAGGACACAAGGGCAGCCTTGATTTGGCAGGCTCGACCTACTAATCAGGGCCGACAGCAGAGGGGGGATGGGAGGATCCGGCCGCTCCCGCCCTGCGGTGTGGGCCGTGCGAGACCTCTCTGACACAGTGTCTGGCATAGTCTTTGGCCCGTCTCCCGAAGCCCCTGGGACGCCCCCTAGAGGCCCCTGGAGCGTCACGACGTTCGATGCTGCGCACCACTTCGACAAACTCCCAGGGAGCGGCCGGTGATGCGCCGCCGGCGTCCTCGATGAGAAGGTGGGCGGAGTAGAAGAGAAAGGAGGGCGAAAGAGACCCATCGCTGATGCGGAGTCCCAGTCCACTGTCTGCTGTCTGCCCTGCCACAGCGCCCGCCGCCGGAGGCGCGGGGCTCGCCCGAGAGCGAAGCGGAGGCGGCCCGTCAACACGCTCAGGGTGAGCGCGAGGCGTCGGAGAGCGGAAAAGAGGAACAGGAAGAGGAGGAGGAGGAGGAGGAACGAGGAGGAGGAGGAGGAACAGGAAGAGGAGGAGGAGGAGGAGGAGGAGGAGGAGGAGGAGGAGGAGGAGGAGGAGCGAGCCAGCTGCCGCTGCCTCAGCGCGCCCTCCTCAGACCCCCGGCGCCCCTTCGCCGTCCTTGTAGGCCTGCGCGGTGGTGGAGAAGCCCCCCGGCACGGGCACGCCCGCGTCCGCCAGCCCGCCGATCATCTCGCCCAGGGAGGCGCTCTTGCCGCCCACCTCGGGCGGCGCGCGCGGGGAGGGCTCGGCGCGCGCGGGCACGCGCCCTCGACGATGGAGGCGCGGGGAGGCTCGAGGAGCGAGGGTCGAGGATCGAGGGTCGAGGAGCGAGGGTCGACGATCGATCGAGAATCGAGGGTCGAGGATCGAGGGATCGAGGAGCGAGGAGGGCAGAGGGTCAAGGGGCGAGGGGGATCGAGGAACAGGGAGGATCAGGTGAAGGATCGAGGAGCGAGGAGGACAGGGAGGAACAGGGAGGAGCAGGTGACGAGACGGACGCAGGGGAGGAGGATCGAGGAGGGCAGAGCGTCGGCTCGCCCAGGGAGGCGCTCCTGCCGCCCTGAGCGCGCAGGCGGCGGCTGGCTGGACTCACCACGCAACCACCGAGCAAGCTCAGAAAGCCCAGGGCTCGCCAGGGACTGGTTCCTTTCAAAACAGCCGAAACCCTCCCGATACGTTGCGGAAACCCTCCGAGAAGGGTTCCAGGAGGCTCTTCTGAGGGTTTCGGGAGGGTGCTGGAAAGGTTTCCGTCGCTCTGTGGAGGAACCAGTCCTTAGCGAGCCCTGGCCCTTGCGCCAACAGAATGGCAGCACAGTCGGGCCGAAAGCACTGCATGGCAAACCAAAGCACTACGCACTCTGCCCAGAATTGGCCACGCACGAACGCTGGACTCAACACGCCACCAACGCGCAAGCTCCCAGACCCTAAAAAAAACGTCGATCCTCTCTACCCGAAAAAAAACGTCGATCCTCTCTTGCGCCATCGGCTTGGGCGGGCTCAGAGGCCTCCTGCGGCCTCCGGAGGGCTCGGGGAGGGCGGGGGAGGGGGAGGAGGAGAGGGGGAGGGGAGGGGGAGGGGGAGGGGGGAGGGGGGAAGGGGAGGAGGAGGAGGAGGAGGGAGGAGGAGGAGGGAGGAGGAGGAGGAGGAGGAGGAGAAGAATAGAAGGAGGAGGAGGAGGAGATGAGGAGGAGCAGGAGGAGGTGGAGGAGGCCCCGAGGGGTGGCGTCCGAGGACGCCGCGCGGCGCCCTCGAGCCCGCGTCGGGCGGCTCGGAGAGGCCGCGCCGCGCCTCGCGGTCGTCGCGTTGGCTTCGGCGATTCGGGGGGGAGGAAAGGGCGGGATAGCAAAGGGCAGGAGGAGGAGGGGGAGGAGGAGGAGGAGGAGGAGGAGGAGGAGGAGGAGGAGGAGGATCGAGGAGGAGGAGGAAGAGGAGGGTGGGATAGCATAGGAAAGGGTGGGAAAGGGAAGAGAATCCGCTCACGTGGCTGGCTTTCCTGGCGCCTCAGGCCGCCGGGAGGCGCCCATGCCTCGAGGAACGGGCCCGGCGGCGTGGCCGAACCCAGCTGCGTGCAGCAGGTTTCGTAGCACCCCTTCCCCAGTCCTGCCACGTCGTCCGGCCCGAGCCTCGCGGCCGCGGCCGGTCGCAGCTTTTGAGGAACCAGCCAGGACTACGTCTGGGGTCCCCCGCCCCCACAGCGGCGACCACTCCGGTTACTGACTACCTGCCAGACCACCCCAACCCAACTCGAAGCGCCGAATTTTGGGTTGAGGGGGGTACGGGCTTCAAATGTGTTTTTGTTCAATATTCCCCGACCCCCCACACACTGAAAATGGAGGGCAAGTCGGGGATTTCGGGTTAGGGTTGGGGTGGTTTGGTGAGCGGTGCGTTACCCCGAGCTTCTCACTAGAAAGGGAGCGGGGTGTGACTTAGGAGGGGGGATCTGATGTGAGCTGCCCTCGAGAGTTCCAAGGGGGGGAGGACGGTGCGCAAAGGCCGCCGGTTCACGGCTGGTCTGGGGGGACGGCGCCCGCGAAAAAAACTCCTCTGCTCTCTGCCCCACTTGGCGACGACAGCCTCCCAGGAGGCCCAGAGAGGCGAGAACGATGGCGAGTCATCACAAAATGCGGGGGGAACGATTGCTCCAGATTTCGTAATAAAAAGAGGGGGGCTCATTTCGGGGGGGGGTCTCTCCCAGGCTATCTTGGAGTGCGTGGGGGGTCTGGGGACGATGTTTTGGAGGGTTTTCCCACGGGGGAGGTCTGAAATGGCTTGTCTTGGAGGGTCCAGACCCCCTCCCTTTAATTACGAACTCTGGAGTAACAAGTTAGCTTCCGAATCTTCGGCTTCCGCTTCGCTTCGGCTCCGCCGGGCCCGTCGCCTGTCCGAGCGCGATCCCCGAGGAGGGCGGGAGGGAGCGGTTCAAGGTGGATTCCCGGCCGGGGGGCCGTTGTTCGAATCATCACCCTGGGCGCCGCCGCGTGAACACGACCCCTGGTAATCCCACCAGCCCTCTGGGCGTAGGTGGTCTAGAGGGTTTCCTCTTCCTTCCCCCTTCGTCCTCCTCGGGGAGGGGTTTACCCCTTCGGGGAGGGGGTTGCCCCTCCGCCCTACCCCCTCCCCTGGACCTGGGCGGGGCGCCCCGCGAGGTGTCAGAGGGTAGTGTTTCGCCCAAGATGGCTCAGAGAGGGCCTCAGGGAGCCCAAGATGACCTCCAAGACGGGTCAAGATAGCCCAAGATGCCTCAAGTCGGCTCCCAAAATGCTCCAGGAGGCCCCAAGATCGCTCCAAGACAGCTCCAAGACGCCTCCGAAACATCCAAGGAGGCCTCCAGCCTCCAAGAAGCCAAGATCCGTCCATAACCTCGAGGAAATTAATGTGGTTTGCTTTCTCGCCTTTTCGCTTCCGATGGCCATCCGAGGCGTCAAGATGGCTCCAAGATGGCCAAAAAGGATCCCAGGAGAGACCCAAGAGAGCCCCAAGACGGCCCCGAGGGCGTCCAAGAGCGCTCCAAGAGCGCCCCAAGAGGCGACTGTTGGGGCTCCCAAGGGGGGGCGAATTTGGAAACCCCTCTTCTTTGATCGATCGCCTCCGAGATGGCCCACGAGCGTTCCGAAGGCTCCCAAGAGCGCCCCAAGATGGTCCAAGAGGCGCCCAGGCGGCCCCAAGAAGCGCCCAAGATGCCTCCAAGAGGCTCCAAGAGGCCCCAAAGAGGCTTCAAGAGGATCCCGGAGGCACTCAAGACGCTCAAAGACGGCTCTGGGCTCGCCAAGATGCACCTCCTCATCCTCCTCGTCCTCCTCCTCCTCCTCCTCCTCCTCCTCCTCCTCCTCCTCCTCCTCCTCCTCCCCCACCTCCTCCGCACCGGGCACGTGTGCGGTCCGGCCTTTTGCGCAATTTGAGAGAAGAAGAAAGAAGTTAACATATTGCAAGGATGCTTCACCGGCTACATGTATGTCAGAACGATCAGAATCATGTGCAACAAAAACACCAGAACGAGAGCGCACACGCCGAGGACCTCCGAAGTGGAACAGCGACCACGGACCTCTGGCACGCAAGTGGAAGTGCAACAGAGCCTCGCCGAGATGTCTGGGGAGGATCATCGTGCCTCCAAAACCTCATTTTCGGAGCACCCAGGGGGGAAAGTTTGATAATCTGCCCGTATGGACGTCAGTTTGCAGAGACCGATGACGATGAATATGTTTATGTTGTTGATGATGACGTTGATGATGATGATTATGACTATCCGCCTGCACGTGTCCTTGCGTGTAGAGCGATGACGACCATGATGGGGATGATGGTGATTATGATGATGATGATGACGATTTTCTTTTCCAGCCGCCGCGCAGTCCACACGACCGTGTTGTCCCAAGCGCTGCATGCAACTGCTGCCACTACTACTACTACTACTACTACTACTACTACTACTACTACTACTACTACCACTACTACTACTACTACTACTACTACTACTACTACTACTACTACTACTACTACTATCTACTATCTACTACTATCTACTATCTACTATCTACTATCTACTATCTACTATCTACTATCTACTATCTACTATCTACTATCTACTATCTACTACTACTACTACTACTACTACTACTACTGCTACTACTACTGCTACTACTACTACTACTACTACTACTACTACTACTACTACTACTACTACTACTACTACTACTACTACTACTACTACTACTACTACTACTGCTGCTACTACTACTGCTACTACTACTACTACTACTACTACGACTACTACTACTAC